AGGTCCTCTCTCAGACATCTCTTCCCAGCATCGAGGCTACCAGCCTTCAACATTGCTTTCACTGAGCGGGTCACATGTCCAGAATGGGACCCACTCAACTCCCATGTATCATCCTGTTTGGAGAACTCAGCAGCAGCCAGAGGCTATAAGGAGGCCCAAAATGATGCTTAAAGAATCAGATGAAGACATCCTTGACACAGGCCAACTTCGACCCTGGGACCTGGGACCCCTTGCTGCAAATTGGTCTTCCTGGCATAGGACCATCTTGTGGAGCTTGGGGTTATTGAGACTTTCGAGTCCAACCGTCAACATGAACAAGATCTGCGAGTATAGTCAAGAGGGCCTGACTTACCCAGCCATGTCCACCACCCCCACACTCTCCTCTGTGCCTCCTGCTCATAACTCTTCAGGAGTAGAATGGGCCTTCACAGACATCTCTGCTACCACCATCGGGCGGGAGGGGGAGAGAAAGGGAATAAGGAGAGAGAATGACAATCCTTATGTGATGATGCGAACAGGTGTTGACAATCGTTTGTTTAAAATCATTACTGTTATTAATTTTTTAAATAAATAAGAAAACTTTTATGTAAGTATGCTGAAAAATCTATAGGCCTTATTTCAGGAAATAAGTACAAACAAACAGAAAAGAGAAATGTATAAAACCAAAATAAAATGTTTACAGTAGTAATAAAGTACTAATACCACATCGCGTCGGGTAAGTCACCAGATAATATGTGAACTACAGAAGAAAGGAATATTCTCCCATTTATATTTCCCCCATTATGGGCATTATTATATCCATGATATAATAACACATTATTTCATGGACGGAATGGAATAGCTGAAAGAAAAACATTGACAAATATACTTTGTTCTCAGAGAGAGTTTTATACCACTAAGTCATACACAAAATTAACATGGCACATGGAACTAGAACAGTCTACCCCAGTGAGCAAAATAAAGGGTTAAGTTCGACATTCCAACCACCTGAAGAAGGCCAGAGCGTACAACGGCTGAAACATTGTAATAAATATGGTGACAAAGATGAGGACAATAGTCCGAATAATGTAAATAATGTACACAAAATTATGTATAAACATTTACACATATCCCACACTGAGAAACTACAACACATGTATGCCACACAAGAAGTGTGAAGAGACAGAGGGTCTTACTTGTAATATTTCCCAACGGGAATTTGAGTTGCTGGAAGATTCTTCTATGTTTCTGGAGAAGCCATTTTTAGGATTCCTAACAGAGATTTGAACAAGCCAGCTTTATCTTCTGTGTCATGAGTGAGGAAATATTCCTCAAACAAGAAATGGTGAGTCAAGGAGCTCATGATAAATAACACCAGACCATATGTGGCGATAATATTCTGAGCATGGACGAATTATAGCTTATAGGTATATAAGATAGATTTTGAAGAGTAAAATTTTTCTTGCACAACATAGTGAACCAACTTTCTTAGTTTTGTGACATATGGTGGCCGTTAATAATTAAGTATAACTCAAGACTTTAATGTTAAGATAAAACAGTCTTTAATTACAACCACAAATAAATACTTAACAAGAACAAAGAAGTAAAAGTCAACCAAAGATAATTAACCATTTCAATGAATACCTTTTAGTAGTATGGCTTGGCTTAACATCCGGTAAATCCTAAATCAAACCTAAATCATCAATGCACAATAATTCATTCTAATTCGACTTGATAGTTCCACTCAATAATTACCACAGTCAGTAGCCTGATACTGCTATTAATCCACCTGGTGGAAAATATATATTCATAAGTCCAGAGCGTCAATCTTGAACCTTGGTGTTGGTAGCTACTCATTTTCTTCCTTTATGACACATCGCAACTGATGCATTGGATTCAATATAATCTTTCCACTTCTTGTCAGTTGAGAACATATTTCAAATACAAAATGCCCACTGTAATAACATTTGAAGAAAAATAAATGTCGGATTAAAAATAAATCCATTAATTCTTTAAAAATTGCTTTGTTTATGTTACAGATACGAAGCCGAGTAGATATGGGCTTTTGAGAAAAAAATAATCTGGGTGAATAAAATGTGCTTTCCTTAAACAGGGTAAATATGAGGGTGTCATGGCTGAGTGTTAAAGCACATTGGATCAAAAGGTGTTTTCCACTCCAAAGGTTTGATCCCTGCCATAGAACATATTTTCTTTACTAAGAGTTCTTGAATGTGCAAAATACACATTATAATAAATAAAAATGGATCGTCTATTTCAGATACAAAGTGTCCACTATAATAACATTTCAAGTGATATGTCAGCATTCTTTAATAATTAAAAAGATCTGATTTAAACCCTGATTTTTCTTTTGCTGGGACGTTCTTGAACTGCATCTCAACTTTAATATTTAATTTTTTTTTTTTTTTAGTTATTTTTGAGTGAATAGAAAGGAAGGAAATAAATAAACAAAAAGTTTTTAAAAAAAATTTTCTTTATATCTCTTACATCCATCCGTAGATTAAAATTTGCCCTTTAAGGTGGTTAGATTGACCTGGGAAAAAATTCCCGCCATCTAATGTAAAACATTAACCATGTGTCTGGGGAAGAGAAGAAAATTATGTAGGGCGTTTGAATGAAAAATGTCCTAATTATATTTTATGTTGCAGGCAAGTTCAGTGGGGCGCTTTTTTTAGGCTGAATGAAATTTGATGATTGTAGAAGAGGCGGCGGGTTAGTTTTTTTGGATTGGCGAATAAGGAAAAATGTGAATTGGAAAAAAAATAATTTACTAGTTTTTTTACTTTTAGTTTTTATTGTTGAGAACGGTTAAACGCAGATTTATTTTAAAAGCACATTATACTTTTAATGGCAGCCATCAAAATTTTAAAATAGAAATACTTGGAAAACTAATACAACTGTAGTGTAACTGTAAGCAAAATGTTGAATTAAGTATTTTTCCTTTCTTTCTCATTGAGTGAATCTATACACACGCGCCATTGCTCCCACATAAGTAGATTTCAATTATCAGAAAATAAATAATTAAATAAATGTAAAAATAATGCAATTATTCTTTCACTGAAAAGTTTTTACGCAATAGAATTTAAGAAAAAAATGAGATTCTCGTGAAATTTCGACTATCATTGATTATTGATATTTTCCTTTCAAATTAAATGAAAAAAGAAAACTTGAAAACTATTTTATGAAAATAATAATAAAAAAGAAAATATTATAATTGTGTCAAAATTAATATAAAAAATTACTTATTGATTGATTGATTCGTATTGCAGGTTATTTAAAGCCAGAAAATATTTTTAGATTGTAAGATTTTTTGATTTTTTTTTAGATAATAATGATTGATTGCTTTAGTGAAATAATAAACAGTAAATAGTGTATAACTCCTCATTCCAGAATTTCAGACAGAAATTTGTTAAAGTTCATTGATTCATTTTCCATGGCTTATCAACCTTTTGCAGGTTATTTAAAGCCAGAAAATATTTTTAGATTGTAAGAATTTCTTTTTTGAGAATAGTTTATGTCATCTGTCTATATTTCTAACATGAGGTATTATGTACATTATTTACATTATTCAGACTATTGTCCTCATCTTTGTCGCCATATTTATTACAATGTTTCGGCCATTGTACGCTCAGGCCTTCTTCATAAGTAGTACCCTACAACGGAACTACCCTGGGTACAAGGCAGCAGCCCAAAAACCTGAGATAGGCAGGTACAAGAGGAGGACAACAACACTCAGAAAACAGTCTTCCTGCCTTATGTGAAGGGGTTATCAGAGAAAATACAAAGGATCTGTGGTCCATATAACATCAGGACAACCTTCAAAAGCTTGACGACACTTCACAGATATCTCTCCCGAGTAAAACCCCCTATAGATGAGAACATGACTAAAGACTGCGTATGCTATCCCATGCAGCTGTGGAAAGGAATATAAAGGAGAGACAGGCCGCCCGCTTAAGGTAAGGCTTCAAAAACACCAGAAAGCTGTAACATGAGGGGAATTGGAAAAATCAGGCATGGCTGACCACATATGGACAGAGAAGGGAGATCACCACCCTCTGTGGGATCAGATTGAGATCATAGACAAAAAACACCATTGGAAAATTCGTAAACTTAAGGAATCAGCACATATGCTAGGCCACAAAAGTCTCCTGAGCCAACCAAGCATAGAAATGAATACAATATGGGAACCAGTAATAAGGAGTGCCAGAGAAAAGTGATAATAACAACAAAAAATGCAATATGAGCTCTGGTAAAAACATGTAATGATAATGATGATGGTTTCTGAAGACATTAGGTTTATAATACCCAGAAATTCATTCACACATGGACACATCACACAGTGGATAAAAGCATTAATTAGATCCAGTGACAGGACCCAAAGAGTGTGAGTTCAATACCCGGTTAAGTCAATGGAGAACCTTCAGAGGGGAATTAACAGGAGATATCTGATAACTGACATCCATTAAACATGGCCCGTGGAACTAGAACAGTCTACCCCAGTGAACGAAATAAAGGGTTCATTTTGACATTCCAACCACCTGAAGAAGGCCGGAGAGTACAACATCCAAAACATTGTAATAAATATGGCGACAAGGATGAGTCTGAATAATGTAAATAATGTAGTTTATGTCATATAGGAATAAATAATGCTGACACTTGGGTTTGAACACAGATTGCCTGAGAGCAAGCACAGTTGACCTAATTTAGAAATAATTAGATCATGTGACGGGTAAAAGGAAAATATATATACTGGAGGATTGTTCAAAGGCATTACTATTATTGTATCTGTGATTTACAAAGTCTCACCTACAAACAGATATTACAAAAGTTTAGTGATACAAGTCTTACTAATTAACCCATAGCTGGGAGGAAAAGAGATGGATTCATATATTTCTTAAAGGTATTTGCATGTATGTGAATATAACAAACCCAACAGGAACTGGAACTCAGATCTCCGATTAACAATTCAGAGCTATTATCCATTACATCGCTCAAACATCCAAGCTTGCAGCACTTGGTATTCTGAAGTGGTCAATCATTTCAGTACAAACCAGGCTCAACATTGCTTAACTTCGGTGATCATACAGGAACCAATGTTTTAACATGATATGGCCGTAAGCAAAACATTACTAATAATTTTCTAAAGAATTAGAAATGATTAACATAGTTTCTCTTACAAAATGCAACCAGTCAGTTTATAAAAAAAAAAATGAATAAAAACTTGCAAAATAGAGTAAAACTGAAGCCAGTCATTTATATATATATATGTATGAATGATATGATATAACAATTTTTTCCGGTCAAATCTAGACTTGTCCGGAAAACAGTTATATAAAAGAATACAAGAAGTAGCAATGCAAGTGTTTAAATTAATGTACTCATTGAAAAACATCTCTGTCCCTGGCAGGCATGAATACATACTGATTTTATTACAGAAAATTGCACAGTTCCTTGTGAGAATGAGATGGAAAGTATTATTTTTCTTAAATAAATATATAAGAAGCAAGGAAGAAATTGAAAAATTTAATTTTAAAACCAGGAAATACCTTCTCGTTATTGATAAGTTGGCTGGTTTTGAAAGAGATATGCTTAACATAATAGACAAAATCAAGTTTAGAAAAGTAAAGAGTTATTTCCCCCCCAAAATCTGGCTGCAGAGGTAAAAAAGATAAAGAAAACAACAAAAATTCTTATTAAACTCCCAGAAGTCATAAAAACACTAACAGAGCCCTATTTGTCCTCTTTCCTATTTGTCATTTTCAACGGCCTCTACCTTCACAATCAGTTCTCTTTTCCACTTTTCATTTTCATGGCCATGGGAAAGTGACTGAAGTCGTGATGCCAGGTCAGGATTGATTACATTACAGAACTTTTTTTGGATTTTGTAAAGTATCTCGATATATATAGTAAGAGCATCAAACCAGATATGACAGTAATATTAAATGCATGGACGAATAGTTGATTTATAAATGTGCAACTAGCCCTGAGTAAATATTTCTTTCTGGAGCCAAATTCTAACTTTTTGAAGCGTTTGGCCCTGTGATTTGTTTATAGTTCTCACAAACGCAGGGTGAACCAGAAACTGGATTCTTGTTTCTTAAAGAAAAGATATGCAAAAAAACAAAATTTCATTTTTATTAAATAAATATTTGTTATTTTAATCATTAAATTGTTTTTAAAATAGTGGGAATATTTTGTATGTTAATGAAACTTAATCCCCCCACCCAAAAAAAAAATTTATTGTACTAAACTATGCACCCTAATAAAACCAACTGTATATTGTACCCTCTTACCTGTTTGCACTTTTCCCCAAAATTTGGTTTTGATTGGTCAATGTATGGCTATTTTATAAGGTGTGATGGACAGAGGGACTAAAAAAAGTCACAGAATTTTATATCTAGTTTGTGAGGATTTTTGTTTCCGAAAATTATTTAGGATAAAAAACCAAATTGGACGGGTTCTAAACTGAAGCTAAATGCATACAGGCAAATTGGAATGACAATTTTTGAAGAAAGGAAACACAACAACGATTTGAGTTCAATTAATTTACTACAAGAAAAAAAAGTTGAAAGGAAAAGGTTTTAAGTGTGGTTGCAAACAAAGTGTGCTTGCGGACTAAGTATACTAGAAGATTCTTCCTCGTAACTGGTAGGACAGTCAATCTATAGTGGTGGTAGTGGGCTTCTAAGTAGCAGTCCCAGCTTCCCCTGGGTTGCAGACTCATATTCGGGTTGGGCATCACACATGTTAGTAGTGGCAGCTGCTTCTCTCTGGCTGTCAGGGGCAGGATAAAGGCAGTCTGTCATGATGGGTGCAAGACACCAGTCGACGGGTCAAACCATTCACAAAGGAAAGTAAATGAAAAAAGAGGCCGAATTCTGGGAGTTGGATTTTATATAGGGGTCTGCCGAGGGTAGCTACAAGGGCACTGATTAGGCCCTCATTTTGGCCCATTCCACGTGTGACCATTAAATTCCAATGTTTAATTATTAAGGTAAAAGGTTTTTTTTCAAAACAACTTGGTGACAACCAAACATGATATGAACATACAAATACCTACATACTTCAACAAGTTCTAAGATTTCTATTTCAAATATGAAGTATCCATTATAATCAGGTTTGAAGCAATATCTCAACATCTCCATAGTCTCATTAATTTATAGTAATATTTTTTTTAAAAAACTGACAAGTATTTGATTTATATTAAACTAGCAGCATGGCCCGTGCTTGATTCAAAAATCATATGACTCATACAGCAATCGCTATCACTTGACTTAAAATATTTTTGCCTTTGCTTGCCTTTAAAGGAGTGCCCTTTACCATACTGATGTTGCTACATGCCTTACTTCTTGCCTATCTCACACTGCAAATTTTTTCTAAGCTCTGTACTAAACATTTTTAATCTGTTAAGAAAAAAGAACAAAATGAACACAAAACGATCAGCTTTAAAAAAGAACTTGTAACTGGAAAAACCTAATGAAAAAAGAATGTTAACAACAAGTACTTTTTCACACCAACCCAGTTCTGCGGAATCAGAATCAGCGTCGAGTTTAAGCAAGCAAATGAGCTAATTGGAGTAAAGTGCCATGCAGATTTAAATTTTTCCCACTTGTAACAAATGCAGCTATCAATTTTTTTTGCATGCTAGTTAACATTCGTGTCAGTTGTTGGCTCTCACACTGGCCAATAGAATCTTCCTGCCTATTCGTGGTAGTCAGTTATTGGCTCTCACTCTGGCCAGTAGAAAATGGCCGCAAACTACATGAAAACTGCCTTTAGAAGCATGAAAAAATTGATTATTTCCACTATCGATGGGAGTTGGGAAATGCAAAGTCAGTCTTGGCCTTCCCGCTAACTTGGAGCATGTGCATGTAAATTTTGGTGCAAATCCGTCAAAAATTGCAGCCGTGCATTCGTTACACACATACACACACATCCTGCCTTTTATAGATAGAGATAAAATGAAACATTACTTATTTTAGTAAAAATATTACTACCTATTTTAAGTGAAAATATTTCTCCTATTTTTCCTACCCAAACAAAAGGTATGATTTTACAATTTCTTCCTATTTTATTTTCTGTTATAAAAATAAAAAATGAAACTTATTACTTGAGATATTTTAAAAGAAATGATTTTAATTTCAATGAGTATAAAAAATAACTTTTTTCAGACGACAAAGAGATTTTGAAAGTTCATGTGACTAACTAAATTTGAAAACAATTCTGTTTGATTGTGAAAAAGCAAGGCATTCTTATCCATTTAAAATGCAATAATTATTTTGAAATAGAAAAAAAAAACTTTTTTGTTGTGTTACAATTTTAAACGTACGATTGTGAAACTGACCTTTTTTTTTTAATCTTTTAATTAAAATTTCAATAGCAGCAGCTATGATATTTAAAATAAACAGACATCTATGCACTCAGATAAATTTTTGTTTTGACTATTAATTTAATCGCAATAATAAACAGGAAAATGAATCTGAAATTGCAAGGAAAAAAGAAAGTAAAAAGAAAGCATATCTAAAAATGTGAGCATTTAAAAAAAAAGAAGAATGGCTTTTAGTTTTGTACAAACATATTTTGACAGGATTATAGGAAAGAAACGTTATTTTCAACACAATTACATACCTACATAATACCATATTAAAACACGCCCAAACATTATTTTTTATCCAATAAGAGACAATACAAACTTACCAAAAAGATGCCACAATACAACACATACTGCTTAAATCAAAGTGTCTATTGGTTAGACATTAACATCACTACATGAAATATTTCACCAATCAGAGAAAACTAAAACCCTATTTTTCTTCAGCCTACTTTTGGGAAAAAATTTCTTATGAAAAAGATTTTGACTTTTAGAAGCAGAGATGTGAGTGTTCAAACACAAGAGAAGGCGTGTCTACATAGTGTCCCCCACCACAACCTGAGTGCATGCTGAAAGAAACATATGTCAGTGACTTCAAACAAATCATCTCCAATAGCAACAACTTGAATGGTCAGGGAATCTTTGCTGTCGATCAAAATCTTTTCTAAACCACAGATTTTTCTGTGGACCAACTACTCAAAGACTTTAACTCAACTAAAGACCATTTTTTTTACTCATTTTTTAATTAAAATATCCCTATGTTTGCAAATACAAATGATTTATTTTTTATTTTATTATTGTTTGGAATTCGGATGTTTAACATAAAAAAATTGTGGATTACTGAATTTCCTACAGAATTACTGACATGTGAATCAATTAACATTACTTTTGTTTTTCATCTTTGTTTTGATTGAAACATTTTAAACTGAAATTTTGAAACTGTGACAGAATTTTCTGCTTTTTACTTTAAAAAATGACAAAAATTACTTCATGTATTTTCAACATTCATAACTTTGGAAAAAAAATGTTTCTTTTCCAGCAACCACAACTGTCAAGTCACTCTATGAGTGCTACTGGTACCATGTAACTCACTACTACCTGCTGCATGGTCTGGTCATTGGCAACTAAGCCAACACCCCACCAGGATTTTTTAATTAGGAGGGGGGCTAGACATCTAGCAGGATTAAAAACAAGACCCGTGAAAGGGTGGATAAACCTTGTAAGATCAACAGCCATCTAGCTTAATGGGGTAGACAGGACTCTATACCTATGATTGAGGTGATTAGGCATAGCATCGCTGGGCTAGGGGCTTCATAGACTGAAATCAATAACCAGGGTGGAGATTTCCTCCAATGGAATCATCAGCGACTTGCCTGTGACCAAGTTGGATAACATTAGCCATAGTTTGAGCTGGAGAGAAATGGGATCTGCCATGTTGATTTGCACAAGACGTGCCATGTTTGAATGAATATCTCTCCAGTTTTCAACCCAGGGGACTGGTTTGGTGCTGTTGTGTCGGGGGTATCTAGCATAGACCTCATTTAAAGTGTATGAAACATATGACAACATAAATATATGAAAAATTCAAACAAAATACAACCTTCGTATAAAAACACTTGCATATATATGTATATATATTCTCTTGTTATTCGAATGAGAACTATTGAGAAAAGGGTAATTTCAACAGTAGTCACCCTTGCTATTAATGCATTGCTCTTCAATAATGAATTGAGCGCTCTGGCTGCTG